CCCAGCGACGTAGAGAGCGGCCCAGATGTGCCCAGAACACCACCAGCGCGGCCCAGGCATAGTTCAACCGGTCCAGACAGTCTCAGACCGGCCCAGATCGCGACCAGTAAGCCCATACCCGGTCCAGGAGCGGTCCAGCAGGTCCAGCAGCTCCGGTTCGTGTCCAAGGCGGTTCCCGAGCTGTCCGAGGAGTCCAACTCACTCACTGAAGGTCCGAGACGATCTAATGAGCTTGATGAGCGATTAGAGCACCATGGTGACTCGATTAGAATCAAGAAAGGCCAAGTCTAGCTGCCCATTACACTTTGGTGTTCAGACGATCTCCATCAACGGAAATCAGAAACGTCTCAGAGTCGGCAAAACTTTTTAAACCGTAAGTCCTAATCCTAACTATAGATTCCGCTGCGTTAGGATTTATTATTCAATAGATTTGAATGTGCACATTGTCGACGTTCCTAATAGAACCCAACATAATCGAGATTCCACTCGAGTACAACTTCGTAGTTGTTTCAGATCGACTTCGTAGTCGTAAGCTTCGTAGCTTAATCGGGATTCCACTCGAGTACAACTTCGTAGTTGTTTCAGATCGACTTCGTAGTCGTAAGCTTCGTAGCTTAATCGAGATTCCACTCAAGTACAACTTCGTAATTGTTTCAGATCGACTTCGTAGTCGTCAGATTGAGGCCGACATGGAAAAATTCGATTTTTCGAGTAGTCATAATAAAACCGACATGGAAATGTAAGAGATACAATTTAAACATAAACTTGGAAGTCATTGCATTACTGAATTTTATTAAGCATTGTTCAGTACAAAAGAGTATTTAAAACACCGCCCTATGCATAAAAGCATATGGGATGGATCATATGTCGAGATCACGACAGCTGTCGCCCTTCGCCATCCTAGTGGTCCGTTCCTTCGTTTCCCCGATCTAAAACTCCATGAATTCGCCACGTGGTTCGGGATCGCTATTCAGCCTCTTCTCGATCGACATTGGCTTCTTCCCTTCCTTAACCTCGGCCCGCTGGTTGGTTTTTACAGCGATTTGATAACAAGTCCTCGACAGCTTTTGATCACCTCGAGCTTCTCCAACTTGGTCTCCGACTGGGAACTTTAGCTTCATATGGTAATTCGATACTACCGTCTGGAATGCATTAAGTGCTGGCCTCCCAAAGATCACATTATAAGCTGACTCGACATCGACCACCACGAATCTCACCATTTTTACCTTCTGCAAGTCACCTTCCCCTAGGACAACAGCGAGCATGGTTTCCCCTAGGGGCGCGACCTCTGACCCGTTGAAACCGAATAATGAGGTATGGAGGGGTGTGAGTTGTATGTCGAGCTCCATCCTTTTGAGACAATCGTAAAAAATCACGTTCACAGAACTCCCAGTGTCGACAAACACTCTCTGCACTTCATATCCCGATACTTGGGCCGTTATTATCAATGCATCGTTGTGAGGTCTTTCAACTTCTCCCACATCTGCTGGACCGAAGTTCATTACCGGTCCATTCTCGTCGACTTGTTGTACCTCGACTTTTCCATGGCGCCCTCGGGCATACGCATTCCTTGCTCGATTCGAATCCCCGTCAGTTGATCCTCCAAATATCATATGTATGATTCCCCTTTTCTGTGGGAGCTCCTCTTTCTCGGGCGTTCTCGCCCTTTTGTGAGGACTCCAACTTCTCTCTCTCCTTCTGCTCGACTTCTCCCGATCCTTATATATGAATTCCTTTAAGTGCCCTGCCTTAATTAGCCTTTCTATCTCGTCTTTAAGGTGCCTACAGTCGTCAGTATTGTGCCCATAGTCCTTATGAAATCGACAATATAGATTACTTTTTGGCCTTGTTGGTCCGTCTTTCCTCGTCTTGGGCCATTTGATGACATTGTCGTGAATTTTTCTTTTCATCACTCCAAATTCTTGCTTGAGGGGCCGACAAAGGGGTGTATTGAGTTGGCCTCCATCCCCTAGATCGCCCCTCTCTTTCTGCTCGTGGGGATCCCTTCCTCTCCCCAGTCGAGGAAACTTTCTTCTTTCTTCTCTCATCTCGATGGTCAGCCTTACTTTCTTAAATTGCTCGTGACAAATAAATCTCCGCCTCTTCGACATTCATATACTTTGCGCATCTCCCTAGCACCTCGTCGAACGTTCTTCCCGGGCGTTTTGCCAAAGAATTCCTGCACAATTTTAGGAGGAGTCCTCTAGTGAGTCCACCCGACTTAATTTCCTCCGTGGCCGAGGGGACGTCGACGCACGCCCGCGTGTATCTCGCCATGTAATCCCTCAATGATTCTCCTTCCTTTTGTTGCCTGCCTATCAGAGTAAGATAAGATTTTTCTTGGGCCTTCACACTTGCAAATTGGTTTAGAAAACTTGAGCTAAATCCATCAAAGTCCCTGACGGCTCCTCGGGGAAATTGATGAAACCAGTCTTGAGCCGGTCCTCGCAGAGTCGTTAGGAACGCTCGACATTGAACAGGATCATTATAGCGGTGCAGTACTGCCATGTTTTCAAAACTCCTCAGATGTCGAGAGGGATCAGTCGACCCATCGTACCAGATGTTAAGCTCTCTGAACCCCTGCGGCAAGTCGGCGTCTAGAATATGTTGTAAAAAGGGGTGTCCTCTCGAGCTCCCTATTTTTCTCCCCTCGACTCGAGCCTGCAGATCCCGCACCTGAGCTAGCAACTGCTCGAGAGTGTTGTTCCTTGCTTATGGATTGACAATTCTGACAGAGGACTCTTCTTCGTCAGCCCTCCTATTTTGTCTTTCGTGGGATTGGGCTTGCTGCTCATGCTCCGGAGGAGGCTGTTCGATTTGAGGTTGCTCGACCCTTGGCCGGTCGATTCTGGGCCGTTCGACTTGCGTCTGTTTGAGTTGGGCCGCTACTGCCTCCGCTATCATCCTCTGCATCTCGCTTCTCGTCATGGTTAGTGTTTGCTCCTCGACTTGGGGCGGCCTTGTTTCCTGCTCAAGTTGCCCAGGTTGCCTTCCCAATCTCAAAGATGTTCCGGTCGATGCATGACCATCCATTTCTCCGCTCGTGCCGTTCGCGTGACTGGCCTCCCCTTGAGTGAGCACCGGGATCTTGACTCCTGGCGGGGTGATAGGTGTTTCTTCTCCCGTACGCACCCCCGACGGCGCGTGTGCTCCGAACGGTAGAAAACCCAACACTTGGAGCGGTGGCCTGACGTTGGGAATTGGCGGAGGCCGCTTGTCAGTCCATGCTGCCCTGAAATCCTCATTCAAATTCTTCTGTAACCCTTTCTTCTCAGCCATTAGAGACAGATCAAAGCTAGGTGTAAAGCTCTTAATTCCTTCAAGAACTCCTAACAGACGGCGCCAAAATGATGGGTCTCTTCTCAGAAATGGAGTGAACCGACGGAAACTCGCTCAGATCTGGAATGAACTGATGAGAACGAGCTCAGATCTATCTTGATGGCTTCCAAACCGCTGTTGAACCGCGAGAACACCTGCAAGAACTCAACGCCGGAGGGGTTTCCGGCGTAGAGCCTCCGACGCTCAAGTCAGTACGTGAAAGAGATGAAGAGAACTGCTCTGAGAGAGCAGCATCAGTAATGGAGAAGAATGTAGAATGAATGTGAGTTAGGGTTTTTGGGGATACCTCAACTCCTTTATATAGAAGTAGAACACTTACCTGGAGTCCCCAAAATACCCTGGTCGACTTACTGGAAATGTCCAAAATACCCTGGTCGGTTCGCATTCCGCCCATCTCCTAGTCAGCATTTAGATTCCTTCTTATCCTTAATAGCTCCCCTATGATATATTGAAGTATACCGGAGTCGTCGGGAATCCATGCATCTCGAGACTGCCCCAGTCGACTCTAGTTAGCCACTCGAGTCGACTAGGTCATCCCTAATCACTGGTAGACCCTAATACGCTTATTCATCCTTTTGGACGGAATCGACTTAGGCTAGTCGACATGGTAGAAGTCAACAAAGAAAAGCATCCGGGCCCTTGACCGAATATGTTATTTACGAGTAAATCTGTGGGTGGAGTCGACTTCGGGTAACCCTTGATCGATTTTTCTGCTTCTTTTCGATTGTTACTGATTTGATATTCCCTCCTCGAGTTGAGTAAATTAAGGATGGTTCACGCATTCCCAAGGGTTTTCTATTCTGTTGT